GATACTGGTCACACAGCTCTCCTACCACCGGAGAGGCCTTGAGGTTTTAATTCTGGGCAATCACTCAACCACCTATAATCTTACTACTATAGAAGAAATGGGCAATGGATACTAGGGAACATCTTGCCATCTCTGCCACATCACTTTTTAAATTTTTGTTAGAGAATAGTTGCTTTACAATGTTGTATCAATTTATGCTATGCAGCAGTGAATCAGTTATACATACATCCCCTCTTTTTGGATTTCCTTCCCATTTAGGTCACCACAGAGCACTGCGTAGAGATCCCTGTGCTCTGTAGTAGGTTCTCGTTGGTTATCTATTTGATACAGTGCAAGGTATATAGAAATGTCGATCCCAGTCTCCCACCTACCACCAGTTCATCCCACCTCCTTCCCCCATTGGTGTCCACACATTTGTTCTCTACCTCTGTGTCTCTATTTCTGCTTTGCAAATAAGTTCGTGTGTCTCATTTTTGAGATCCCACATATCGGTGTTAATATGACATTTTTTCTTTTTGACTTCATTCTGTATGACAGTCTCTAGGTCCGTCTACATTTCTGCAAATGGCAGAGTGTCCTTCCTTTTTATGACTGAGTAATATTTCATTGTATATATGTAGTATCTTCATCCAGCCCTCTGTTGATGGACATTTGTTTCTGTGTCCTGGCTGTTGTAAATAGCTGCAATGAACATTAGGGTGCATGTATCTTTTTGAATTATGGTTTTCCCCAGGTATATGCCCAGGAGTGGGACTGGTGGGTCATATGGTAGCGCTATTTTTAGTTTTTGAGGAACTGCCATACTTTTCTCCACACACTTTCCAGCATTTATTGTTTGTAGATTTTTTGATGATGGCCATTTTGACCAATGTGAGATGATACCTCATTGTAGTTTGATTTGCATTCCTCTAATATTTAATGATGTTGAGCATGTTTCATGTGGTTGTTGGCCATCTGTATATCTTTTTTGGCAAAATGTCTGTTTCTAGCTTCCCCTCATTTTTTTGAATGGGTTGTTTTCTGATATTGAGCTACATGAGCTGTTTGTATATTTTAGAGATTAATACCTCGTGGGTTGCTTCATTTGCAAATATTTTCTTCCATTCTAAGGGTTGTTTTTTTGTCTTGTTTATGGTTCCCTTTGCTCTGCAAAAATTTTTAAGTTTAATTAGGTCCTATTTTTTGTTTTAACTTTCATTACTCTTAGAGGTAGATCAGAAAAGATGTTGCTACAATTTATGTCAAAGAGTATCCTGTGTATCTTTTCCTCTAAGAGTTGTATAGTGTCCAGCCTTACATTTAGGTCTTTGATCCATTTTGAGTTTATTTTTGTGTATGGTATTGGGAAGTGTTTTAATTGCATTCTTTTACATGTAACAGTCCAGTTTCCCCAGCACCACTTATTGAAGAGACTGTCTTTTCTTCATTGTATATTCTTACCTTCTTTGTGATAGATTAGGTGACCATAGGTGTGTGGGTTTCCCTGGGCTTTCTATCGTATTCCATTGATCTATATTTCCATTTTTGTCTGCTGCATTATTTTTAAAGGAATTGTGTGAGTGATCAAATTAGTGACGTTTCTTCCTCATTGTGACCTTCAGGTCTTCTCACTTTCTCATTTAAATGATTGTGTACCTGGTGGCTCAGTGGTAAAGAATCCATGCCAACAAGATCCCCTGAAGAAGGGAATGGCAGCCCACTCCAGTATTCTTGCCTGGGAAATCCTGTGGACAGAGGAGCCTGGTGGGCTACAGTCCATGGGGTCCCGAATGAGTTGAATATGACTTAGTGACTAAACAACTCTAAAACATTATCTTCGTTTCATTCCAATTCTAAAGTAAGGTGTTACTTTGTTTTTAAATGGAGTATAATTACAATGTTCTGCAGTACAGCAATGAGTCAGCTATATGTGTATGTATACCCTCCCTCTCGAGCCTCCTTCCCGCCCCACCATCGCCATCCCACGCCACGTCATCACAGAGCACCGAGCTGAGATCCCTGCGCTCTCCACAGCCTCCCACTAGCTGGCTGGTTTACACGACTGTGTGTATACGTCAGTGCTGCTCTCCCAGTTCGTTTCACCTTCTCTTTCCCTCCTGACCCTCATGTCCACCAGTCCATTCTCTGCATCTGCATCTCTATTCCTGCCCTGCAAATAGGTTAGTGTGTACAGTTTTTCTAGATTCTCTATATAATTCATTAATATATGGTATTTGTTTTTCTCTGACTTCACCATGTATGACAGACTCTTGGTTCATCCAGATCACTACAGATAACCAGTTTTGTTCCTTTTATGGCTGAGTAGTATTCCATTGTATATATGTACCACCATCTTCATCCATTCATCTGTTGATGGACATTCAAGTTGTTTCCATGTCTTCGCTACAGTGAACATTAGGGTGCACATATCTTTTCAGTCCCACTTTTGACAGATCCTTGAACAGAGTTTTTTCTAGACCCTGTAAGCCAGCAGTAGAAATATTCCCACCCCAGTATTTAATTCTTTATGCAGCAAATGTTTACTGCTCCACAGGGAACATACAGCTGTGAACAGTAGTCCTTTCCTGGAGCTTACAATCCAATGGAAGGAAATAGGGCTTAGACCAGTGCCGTGAAGAAACCTCAAGTAGCAGAAAGAGAGAAAGCTTTGTGGGGAAGAACTTTTGTTTCAGCATCTCGCTTTCTGCCTTTGCTCTGGAATGTTCTACCTCAAATATGTTATCAGTTAAATTGTGTAGGATCCAGCACCTCTCAGGGAAATCTGGACAGCTACAAGCAAAACTTAAAGAGGCTTATTTACTTCTGCTTTGTTTTTAAAGGGAGGCAGTGGAGAAATTCTTTCAAACTTGTATGTTTAAGTGACTGTAGATATTTGTTTTTATATGATAACACATAACATTTTTACCTTGCTTTATTTGAAGGCTCTTGAGATCTGTCAACAGAGAAACTTTGTAGAAGAGACAGTTTATCTTCTGAGTAAGTAGCTTTGATTCATTTTGGTCCCCATAAACTAGAGTGGGGTGACAACATGATATAAATTTTCCAAGAATGGACATAGGTTTTAGACCAAAGTAACAGAGGTTAAAGCCTGTTTTATATAAGAATTTAATATTTGGAAAAGGAGACTTCATAGCTCAATAAAGAAGGTAGCATTATTTAATAAATGCTACTGAGATAATAATTGGTATTGTGTAATAAAACTATCAGCTCACACTTTACAGTGTAAATCAAAATAAATTGTGGATGGGTTGACAAATTTGTTTTAAAGAGAAGGAAGTCAGAATCTGACAGACCTGGTTTTAGATTCCAGATTTGCCATTTAGTAGCTATATGATCTTGGCAAGTGACTAACACGTCTGTCCTTTTTTATAAAATTGAAATAGAACATACTTCCTCGGATTACAGTGATTACACAAAGTAATTCATGTGAAGCACCTAAGGGAATACTCAGTACAAAGTAAATACCTAGTAATTAGGATTTATTTATTTTAGTAAGTTTCAGTTGTCACAGAATGAAATTCGCTTTTTCTCATGGCTATCAAACTATGTAAACAAATAGAGATGTGATTTCTCTTAAAACGTTTAATTAAATTATCCTAAACGTGTGTCTCACATTGTTCTAGGCCGAATGGGTAACAGTCGAAGTGCCCTGAAGATGATTATGGAGGAATTGCATGACGTTGATAAAGCGATTGAATTTGCCAAGGAGCAGGATGATGCAGAACTCTGGGAGGATCTGATTTTATATTCCATCGACAAACCACGTAAGTAGAACACCCATCTGCCTTTATAACGTCTTTCTCTCCATTTAGCCAGTTGTGTCTAGAGTAAGAATCATCTCAGGATGCACTGAGTTAAAAATGTGGTGAAGTATCTATAATAAAAATAGGTGAGGTGCATAGTAACAATTTCCCGAACTCTCCCCATACAGGGAAGTCTAGAGCCTTATCAATTCATGTTGCCTAGCTGAACTTGATAAAGAACAAGCGATGGACATGAGATTAACCCTGCTCCCATGAAGCACAGTTTTACCTACTGCACCAGACGGAATGAAAGGTTCTGGTTTTGTGTGTACACAGGGGCATTTATTTTGGAAGTGTATTGTCTAGCCCTTATCACTTCTCTTTATGGAAACCCACAGCCACTGTGGACATCGGCTGTACTGGGAGGTTTGCTGCTGCAGCATCCAGCCTCTCTCTCCTGCCCTATCAGTGCAGCTCCAGGAGTGTCTGTCCACTGCCCCTCCTTGACCATCTGCGTGGGTCTCCCATTTTGGAAGGAAACAAAAGTTAATGAAAGTCCTCTTTTAAAGATACAGATATGATTCAGAAACTAGCAGCCATGGTTTAAAATCTCTCCCTTCCCCCTTTTTACTTTTTGGTCAGAAGGCTTATCTATTTCAAGATTTTCTAGAAACCACTGTTACAATAGTTTTTTTCTGAGATACAAGAGGAGGGTGTTATTCAGGTTCATTACTGATAAGGTACTTTGCAAATCTAGTTTAGCATAAGAGAGTAGCAGTTCAAGATCTTACGGGAGGCAAAGTGGTAATGAAGCATACTGTAAACCTGGGCCTACCCTGGCTTTGATTTTGGGTTCAGAAATTGCTGGTTGTGTGATCCTGGACAAATTCATTAACCATCCTGTTTTTTCCTTTTCCATAAAATGGGAACAAAAAACATTCCCACCTTGCAGAATATTGGAGAAAAGTATATGATAACTGAGCCATAGTATATTCACAATAAATATTAGTCACCTCTCTTTGACATCACAAACTGTGTTCCAAAGCAATCATTTGTTTTCCAATTCATTGTTTTTTTAAATCTCTTCTCATTAAGCTGCTTTTTTGAGAAAAGTAAAGGAAGATTAGTTCTTGGGAGGATTTAGAAGTTCAGATGGTTTTAACACTTACTACAAGGATATAACTTTTTGCCTAAAATTGCATCCATTCCATTGCTTATATGGTGTTTTCTGTGGTATCCTGTAGCATTTATCACTGGCTTGTTAAACAACATCGGCACACATGTTGACCCGATTCTACTGATTCACCGTATTAAGGAAGGAATGGAGATTCCTAATTTGAGAGACTCCTTAGTTAAAATTCTACAAGACTACAATTTACAAGTAAGTATCCTTTCTTGAATCAGTGGACATTGCTGAGTAAATTGACTGACTACTGGATAAACATTTCTAGGGTTTATTGTGGACATCCATTTCAGTTTGATAGTCACAGTATACCTAGGCCCAGATATTTGGGATATTTTTCAAATAAAGAAGCTACAAATAGCACCCATTAAATTTCTTATCCATCCCCAGATTTTCTCTCCTTGTGAGCAGGCATTCTCACATTTATAGGGTAAACTTAGCATGGCCTTGGAGAGTGTGAGGGAGTGTTACAGTGGCTTTTAGATCAGACCACCTGAACCATTTTGAAGTAGAATGAGCATTGTGTCCATTCGGAGCAACGGAAAAAAAAAAACAACTTTTTTTTTCCCCAAATAGTTTGATCATTTCCTTGAAGCCACTCAGTATCCTGTTGCCTGAAAGATCTTAAAATACAGAATTTTGTTTTACTTTTTGTCTGTTTTTCTAGAGTATTACAAGTTTAGTACCCTCAATAATTCAGAATTTGTGATAAGAGCCATAGAACTCGTTATCTTCATATAAATAATTAACATGCCAATCACAGAGCATCCTGATCTTTTCCTTAAAATAGCCTCTAGCAGTGACTGTATTTTGGAATGCTAGTAGCGTCCAGAGAACTTGGAACTATTTAAAGCACATTTCTTGAAAAATTCAGACTGTTCTTTCTCTAGCTCATTTGGAAATGAGTTTTTGGTTAAATGGGGATGACACTGCTTTCCTGGAAGCAGAGATTGTGCAGGTGGAGCCAAAAGACAGGGTTGTGGGGAGAGAAATGGTCTCCAGGGTCGGAAAGGGGGAGCACGTGATGAGGATTTGCGTAGCACCCGCTGAACTTGGAGTTCAGGTAAGAGACTGGGTGAAAAGGAGGAGAAAATGAGGAAGATCAGTGGTATCAAAAAGAAAACTAAGAAATGTCAAGGACTAACAGAGCTGGAGGGCCAGGAGCCTATGGCCAGGGAGGAAGATATTGTTAAACATTTCCAAAGAAGTCTTTGTGACCACATTCAGAAAGTACAGTGATGGGAGAGGTCATGGGAGTGGAATTAGTCAAGAAACTGTGAGGGTAGGAGTTGTCTGGTGGGCACTGAGCTGTGAGCCAGGGTCCAGCTTTCTCCTCAAACTAGGAGTTAACATCCAGTAAGCTGACTGGCCTTACTGGATAACTCAGCTTTAAGGAGAAGAGGTTTTTCTGAGGGCGAATGTGACAAAACTGGAAGCCTTGGCTTAGAAGGCTTCTGGGAGGTTGGCATCATGGGCGAGAAACAAGTACTTGGCGTAGGCAAGTAGGAAAACAGCCTCTTCAACAGAAACCTTCCAGAGAAATAAGCATTTGTTTCCAGTGGAATTTGGAGGCTTGTGGGTGACCCAGAGAAAGGTTGCTGGAGGAAGGAGAAAGAGAAATGTAGGAAGGGGTTACTAGGTGAGGAGAGGTGACGAGGGGTTTGTGCTTTGTGCAGCTCTCAGGGGATGCAGAAGAGCCATCCAGACCGGGAATGAGCCACTTCATCCTGAAGCATGAATTTGGCGTTAGGGAGAGCCGTTCCAGTGTCAGACCCGGTAAAGCCCTGGACGGGAGCGAGCTTGACAGTGATCTGTAGCTCCTCGGCTCTCAACACCCCGGGTCTGCCTGGAAGTTGCAAATTCCAACTTGTCAAGAAGTCACTTAAGTGTCTCCACAGATCTACCCCAAGAAAGGTTACCAAATAATTACCCTTTCTGTCCTCCAGCTGTCCTGCATGAAGCCTAGCCTCTCAGTTGAAAATTATGCCTTACTTTTTTCTCAGCCTCTACAGTACCTCCAAAAACACCTAATAGACCCCTCTTCCTAGGCTCTTTCCAGAGAACCTAGCTCAGGGGCACTGCTGGGTCTCACTGCTCATTAATGTTTTAGTAATATATTTGCATAACTCTGAGTCAGCCGGGAATAAAAATAAAATTATTAGGTGCAAAGTGAATTTCATCAAAAAAATTAGCTACTAATAAACAGCTGCTAAGTCAATATTTTATCCTTTTCGTTACATTTTTAAGTGAGAGCTTTTCCTTAGGATGTGTAAGTGTGTAGCCCCTGGTGTGTTAAAGAGGCTGGGAGTTACTTTGCTGGGGGTCCAAGGTAGCCTGTAATACCCCAACCATGGGGCGGGGCTTCTGGGACAGAATGGGAGGGACTCATGGGGAAAGGGGCGGGGTCTGTGGGAATGGCTGCAGTCTTCTCTGGACCTCAGACATCTCCTTGGAGGATGCAGGGAGAAAATGCTCTACTGGGGCAGGTTGTTCAGAATTCCAGGAGGTACTTCCTGCTTATATATGAAAAGTTTAGAATTATTTTCTATGAAAAAGGCTACTTCTCTTCATTAATAACTATTTTCTTTCCCTGACAACCTACTGGGGATCACTATAAAAATAACTTGAATCTATTTATAGAGCAGTCTGAATTTTCCAGAAAGGTTTCACATACTTTTAAAATTCTGTCTAGTCTTTTTTTGTTGTTGTTTCTTCCATAAAACTATAGTTGATTTTTACATGTTTTAACAGGCTAAAAAATTTCATCTCTGACAATGACACCCAAAAAATTTAGGGGATATTTTTCAGGTCCATGAATCAGCAAGAATCTGGACCCTGTTATGCCTGGGGGCAGGGAGTTGGGGGGAATGACCTTGGAAGACATTAAGAACCATTCAGTATAATGTAGGAAACTGTGGTCAAGTGTTAGACAAAGGTTACTACAGGGCTTCTCAGCACCTTTTTTGCTGATTTGCATTGGTAATCTAAGGATCAGATGTACAATTCTGTCCACTGAATTATAAAACTTACTTGGTACTGAAAGAGCTTTGGGGGAGGACTCCTCAAGTGAATTGCTGTTTGGAAAGAGAAAAGTTAGAAAATTGGGGGGAAAAACTGAACATCACTTCTGCTTTTAAAATTTCATATTTTCTAAGATGCAACAACTTTTCTCAGTATCACGTCTAATTCCATCTAAATGGAATTAGAAGCTGACAGCTAAGCTTCAACTGTCTATGACATCATTAATGTTAAAGAAATAATTAACCACATTTTCAATGTTTAACTTTTTTTTTTTTTACACGTTTGTGTACCTTGTTAGATTGTTAGCATGATGGTTCAATAGGATTTCAAAGCTTCGTGAAGTAGGATAAAAGTAGCCCTTATCATACTTCATAAACTTAAAATGTTTCTAGGTCTGATTTCAAGGACAAATAGCATTTGTTTTGATATAAGTTACTTACAAAACAATATATAATGATATTTCCATTTTTACAAGAAACCTCAATTTCCAAATTTTTATGCTGTGTTTTATATTTGTAAAAAATTTTATTTCTTGTCTTTAGTGGGTTGGCCAAAAAGTTTGTTCACTTCTTCTGTAAGATGTTATGGAAAAATCTCAACAACTTTTTTGGCTAAACCAATATTTAGCATTTATATCCACTTCTCTTGCTCCCTTTTTTTTTTTTTTTTTAGAGCTTATTTACCATTCTCAAGCATCCTAGCACCTTTGCTTTTAAACACTTGACAGTCATTTATCTTTACAATGGCCCTTCAGGAACGCTCATCTCTGTTTTATATATAAGAAGACCTGCATTTCAGAAAGTGTTGACTCACCAGTCTGGGAAGGTGATGAACTGGATTTGAACCCAGACCTTCTGACTAAACCTTGTGTACTTCTCACTGGTTGTCCCATTGGTCCCTGGAGATGCAGTCATTATACGGGCAGGTTGCAACAGGAATATATAGGATTGGCCTAGAAGATGAACAGGTAGCCTGTTGTCTTTAAAGAGCTGTGGACATGGTGTTTGCAGACCCAGACTCTAGTCCCAGCTTTGCTGTTAAGTCTGTTGACCTTTGGGAGGGGCCCATAAACTTTCTGGATGTCAATTTTCCCATTAGGTTAAATCAATACTTGTTAAGCCTAGCTGTATACCAGAATATTCTGATTTTTTTTTTTTTTAAATTACTTAGTTTCTGGTACCACCCCAGATCTGTGGGAGAGGAACAGGGAACAGATCCTTAGACCACCCTGGTGTTTCTTAAACACTCAGCCTGGCACTGGGTTCTGCATTGACATTTAAGAGCCTCGAGATTAGATGGTCTCTAAAGAATTTCTATCAAATTCTCAAGAGGGTCCTTTCATAAACATGTCTTTCTATGGCAAATGCAGCGGCATAGCATTTATGTAATATTTCTATGGAAATCATCCATAATACTTATTTTGGAATCTCTAATAAAGTAGCTTAGATTTTTTCCATGTAACTTTTTTACACTTGATCTTAGCCATATGCCAAGAAGCAATCAGTGTATGTTTTTTAATGCTATATGTTTGATTGCTTATAGACATATTGATTTAAATATTTGAGTGCCCAACTGGGTCCTCACAGAGCCTCCACGTATTATCTCATGGACCAGGAAATGAGCAGAATGTAGCCCTTTGCTCGAGCGGCTCTTGAGCTGAATGAATATTCCTAAGAGAAGCAAAAAGCTTCAACACTTCCATTTAGTTAAATTTCTCACATGTACACACACAGATAAATAAATAAATGACTCCAGACATCTGTTTATCCAAGTTCTTTCCCTGTATTTACTTTTTCTATAATCTCCTGTAGAGGCCTCCCAGGTGTCTCAGTGGTAAAGAATCTGCCTGCAATGCAGGAGACGGGTCAGGAAGATCCCCTGGAGGAGGAAATGGCAACCCACTTCAGTATTCTTGCCTGGAAAATTCATGGACAGAGGAGCCTGGCGGGCTACAGACCATGGGGTCACAGAGTCAAACACAACTGAGACCCTTGCACACACAGTCCCCTGTGGCTTTATCATTTCCCCATAGGTCTCTACTTTGAAATCCAGAGACAGATTATGAGGAAACAGTGGCTGCTTTCTTGCCTTTTCTTGGGTCTCACATGGGTTTCAACTCACAGTATATAAGCTCGTAATTTCTTCTAAGAGATAGTTTTTAATATTCTTGAAAATAAAAGTTATATAAACATTTAAGATAAAACCTCTAAAATTATTTCTGTTTGGCTTCATCACATAGGTGCTTATGACAACCAACTATAGCTTCTTTAATCACTTAGTTACATGCATACTTCTATCATTTTTTCAACTCCAACCTGAGAACTTGAGTCTTTCTGTCTTATTTCTCTGCAATTCTTCTTTGATAATAAACCTGACAAAAAGGCAAAGCTTTTTTAAAATAGAATTTAAATCCCATTGCATTGTGATTTAAATGATGGATTAGAAAGTAAGTAAAATGGTTTCCCAGTCTAGCTCTGGTATCATATCAGGGGTTTATGAAACCAGGTGACTGTCTCATGTGCCATGCTGATGATAAGCACTACAGTATGTACAAGACAGAGTCAGCAAAAAGTTCAACATTCAGAGAGTCTTTTAAAATGGAAATTTCAGAAACTTGGCAGCCTTGTATGACATTTTTTTCCCATGGCAGCTCTTTCTAATGAACCATAATAACTTTGCTGATATACACACACTCTTACTACTGTAAAAAGTGAGCCTAGTGCTTTTCTTTTGGTTGGGATCATTATCGATGATGAACTGCAGAGAAATAAGGACAAGTAGGGAGAATCTAGAGTCTTGTGTTAGTTTTCAACAACTAACATAAATGCATTCTTATTTAATCTTACAGTAGAACAAAGTATGCTTGTAACAATTATAGAAGCTACAACTGACTTTTTGAAACATTTTGTTTGATTGACACTATTTGTGTTAAGCGTTTAGTATTAGAGCAGCTAGATATGTTTGGTAATAAGTTTTTTTAAAAAGCTTACCAACATCAGTATTTTTTAGATCTTTTCTATGTATTTTTCTCTTCTTTCTGTATGCTTTCATGACATCTGGTAGTTTTCTTAAATGAATCTGAAAAATTCAATTTCCAGCAGCATTCTGAAGAATAAAACTTCATAGGCAGTTTCCCCATGTAGAAACAGTAAAATCATGCAGTTTCCTGCTCATCAACTCTCGAAATGGTGGGTGCAGAACTTTAGGCATCACTTGTGTTTCCCTGGCTCTCTGCCCTCACATGATAAGGGGAGATGCCCTCGGGCTGCATGCACCCAGCGCCGGTGCTCCTTGGGATTGAGAGGAGGACGTGTTATCACAGCCGATCCGGGGTGGAGGACCACAGTTGGCCGCTTCCGGTTTCCTTCCCTGATGGCATGAATTGAAACTGTGTGAAAGCAGAACAGCCACAGAGGTTTCAGAGTCGAGAGTGACTCTGATGTGAAGAAGGGCAGGATGCAGCTGTGTCATGACCCAGAGCTGGGCAGCAGGGAGGTGGCGATGTCTCCATCGTGTGAATTTCCATGAAGCCCCACGGAACCATGTGCGCTCAGACCCAATGGGCCAGAAGGAGACGACATGGATGCTGCACCAGAGCCTCCCAGAAGGCCTGAATGTTTTCCTCTTTGAAAAGCAGCGAGTTCTAGTGAAAAACAACATTTGGCTTAGCATACCTCACACAGCTTCTCCCAATTTCCAATACAATACCCACCCCCCAAACCCAGAATGGAAACTCACAGTGTGGGCAGAGGAACTGGTTTAAAAGGAAAGGGACCGCCTCTCCCTGACCCCACCCGAGAATAGTAAGAGGATTCTCCCCCATATTTGAATCTCTTTACGGTGGTTTTTCTTTTGCATTGTGTGCGTTAGATTCTGCTTCGTGAAGGCTGTAAGAAGATTCTCGTAGCCGACTCTCTGTCGTTACTAAAGAAGATGCACCGAACTCAAATGAAAGGCATTCTGGTTGATGGTAAGTAAAATGGAAAGAATCATATTGGAACTGCATGCCTCGCTTTCAGACAGGACAAAGAGAAACCTTATGTAATCCCAAGTGTAGAGCAAGTCCCCCACATATGTTCTAATAAGAGCACATTCGTAAATCCAACAAAGTTAGCTTAGGTATCAACTAACGTAATTGACTATGTAGTACTGTGCTATAATAGGTTTATAATGCTTTTTCACACAAATCATACATAACCACCAAACCCAAAAGTAGACATTTTAAATCTTGCAGTACATTACCTTGAAAAGTACAGTAGTGTGGTACAGTAGCTGGCATCCAGGGGCACATTTGCATCTCTGAAAGCTCGAAACTTGAAGGTTTGTATGTAGGGGACTTACTGTGTGCGTTTCCTTGCAGAGGAGAACATCTGTGAGTCCTGCCTTTCCCCTATTCTTCCATCAGGTAAGATGGCTGGGTGGGGAGAAAAAATTCCCAGATATGTGTTAATGATGAGCAGAGTTAAAATTTTGAAGTTAGCAAATTACACTTTATAAAACTTTTGGAATAATTCAGCTTAGAGAAGAATTTCAGCCATATCCCTACTCAGTATTCTTGCCTAAAGGATTCCATGGACAGATGAGTCTGACGGGCTACAAAATACGGAGTTCCAAAGAGTTGGACACGACTGAGCAAATAACACACAGGATGTGAAGAGAGAGACTTCCATATTTTGAAGCAGAAATTAAAGCAGTTTTTGAGAAGCTAAGAAAGTGCTTCAGATGTATAAATAAAACCCGGAGAAGCACTACAAGACCTAGTTTGTGTAGCATTTACTTAGCTTTGAGGGATTATTTAATAGGGCAGGAGCACAAGAAGTCATTCCACTTGGGGTCTTCTGTAGAGGTTTGGATTTTAAGTGCTTATGTTAAGAATTGCAGTGGGTTATACACATATCCAGGACTTCCCAGGTAGGGCTAGTGGTAAAGAATCCACTTGCCGATGCAGGAAACAGTGAGACGTGGGTTCGATCCCTGAGTTGGGAAAATGCCCTGGACGAGGGCATGGCAGCCCACTCCAGTATCCTTGCTGGAGAATCCCATGGCCAGAGGAGCCTGGAGGGCTACAGTCCCTAGGGTTGCACAGAGACACCACTGAAGCAACTTAGCACGCATGCGTACACATATCTGTTCTTTTCCATGTCTTTTCCATTATGGATCACCCTAGGACATTGACTATAGTTCCCTGCACTACACAGTGTGATCTTGTTGTTCCCTTTAGAGCAGAAATTAGCACAGCACTGTAAATCCACTATAATAAAAAATAGAAGAAAGACCGCAGTGGGCGTAGGAAAAGCAGCGAGCTTTTGCAGTGTTTTAGTCAGTGTTTTAACGGAAGGAAACCACATGCACCTGCACAGTAGAGTCAGATTTCTAATTTACTCTGTTAAGGGTTCAATCTTACTGGAACTAAGCTGGCTACACGGAGCAGGAGCAGATGAGGTGCAGTGCCCAAGCGGACTCATGGTACAGATCAAGGTCACACCAAGGATGTTCGCCCAGCTCTGCCCTGAAGTCACTGAAGGGTCTTGGCAAATGCAGATGCTTTCAGGCAGAAAGCATCCTTACAAACCACAGAATCCACTTCAGTATGTGGTGTGTCACGATTATGTACACAGGGCTGGGGGAGGGAGAACCTTGTAAAGTCACATACACATGCTGATATATATATATATATATTTTTTTTTTTTTAACAACAAATGCTGTTGCCTTGCCATGAAATCATCCCGTGTGTAGCTGCAGTAACTGATTGGGAAGCCAGGCAGCTAACCAAGGACCCCAGAGCAATAGGACTCATGCCTGCCCTGCATTCAGCCGCGCCGCTTGGCGGGGATGTGATTGTAAATTAGCAATCCCCTAGGGCAGCTTCTGGCTGAAAATGAAACTGCTGTTGCCCTGAGCTCCTCTCCCTTCTCTGCCCTCTCCCCCTAGACGCAGCGAAGCCGTTCAGCATGGTGGTCTTCCACTGCCGGCATATGTTCCACAAGGAGTGCCTGCCTGTGCCTAGCATGGTGAGTGGGTGGCTTGGCCACCACCAACTCGAAAGCAGTTGGTGCAGCCAGAGGGATGTGCTTAAAATGATAACCATCCTCTTCTGACATCCTCTGGTTCAAAGTTATAACCTTCATCTGTGTCTCACAGTTATAGTTTGTCACATCAGAAAAAGTGATGAGCCTATTTCTCAAATGTAAAACTGCATAGTACATGACACTAAACATTACAAAAGCATGCTCATGTGTATAAATTTGTTCAGATAAAATCGATGACTGCTGGGCTCCAGAGACGTGAACTGCAGGGAGAACCATATTCTATTGTGTCCGACTTTCTCACCCTGATTTCTGTATCACGACACTAGTTTTTTCAGTGTCAAGGTGGGTTCCCCGAGGTGCCCCTGGGTCACATTAGGCTCGCCTTTCTGTGGGGCGTCCTTTGAGTCCCAGAACAGCAGCTGGTCTAGACAGAATCCCGTGTGAACCAGCTGTACCCTCCCGGGAAAGGAGCGACATCGCATGGCCTGCTCCCCATCCTCCACCAGTGCATCCCATCTGGATATGATAGTAGAAGGAGATGATCTTTTAAAAGTCTGCATTTTTACTTGTGTTTTTTAGACCTCTCCTGCACAGTTCTGTAACATCTGCAGTGCGAAGCACCGGGGACCAGGAAGTGCCATTTTGGAGATGAAAAAATAGCTCAGTTCTGTTTGTCAGCCTCTTCCTCGCTACTCTTTGAGGACTGCTTTTGCAGCAACAGAAGCTTTTGTTGACACCAGTGCTGTTAAGAGATTCGTACATGTTTAGATTATGCTTAAGAAGAGCTTCTGCATCTTCTTCTGTTTACTAGATGTTTCTCTTTGCAGTTGATAAAGAAGTTAGGGTTTTCCCCAGCCATACCTTGAAAGATGTGTGTTCACAGTCAGTATTTTATCATTTATTTGTTTGACTCATTATTTAGGAAGAGAAACTGAAGTCTTGGAGTTGGAAGTGACATTTCAGTAAAACTGTCCAGCCATAACATGGACTGCTGAGAGTTGTCCCAGATGGCTGAGTGCCTCACCACTGAGGCTGTCTAGCAGCACCTTGGACCTTGTTTTCTTATCCTCTGCCAGCAACCACTCTCAGATGCTGGGTTTGGCTTCTTTTTTTTTTTTTTTAGTATGTCATCAACTGTGCTTACCTTCTGTTTGGTATTGAATGAAACATTGTGCGTATTGTCACTGACTGTGTGATGACTGGGAATAACAAGAGCAGTCTGACACCATGCAGTTTCATGTTGACCGATGACCAGTTTCATGTTCTCTGTGTCCCAATGACCAGCAGTGTCTACCCCTGGCAGGCACTCAGCGTTTGTTGATCGAATAAATGTTAGCTCTTCCCACTGTGAAAGACTCACTTTTACTGGGTTGTACAACTTTAATCAAGCATTCTGGCACCCTCATAAGGAATGGAAGAGAGTTTCAGCACCTAGAGTGTGAGGGAGTGTGGGCGGGTGTTGCTAGCAGGGAGGATAGGAGTGATGCTGTGGAATCTGAAAGAGATGCTCAGGAGAAAGGTGGCTGATGCTGGAGGATGGGCATGACAATGTTTCCTGTAGCCTCCTTTGCCCTTTTAGAACATAGCATAAAACGGAGGGAGAGAATTCAAACCTGTGCCTATGTCTCATTGTTACTGTTTTCATTTCCTTGGGTTACATTGCCATCCTCTAACCAGTGAAAAACACGTATTTGCTGTCCCTGCTGTCTTTGTCCCAAAAAAGGGAATAAATGCAGCTTTCTGTGTCTGCCTTTTTGGGGAGAGGGTGGGATGCTAATGACTACCAAGCATATATCAACTATTGAACTTGGTACAGTCGTTCCCATGAGCAGCATCTCATTTCATTCTCATGACTCCCCAGACTACCTCCTGACCCCAAGAAGATATTATATCCCCAGGTTTACCAGCAGAGAAATCAAAGTGCAGAGATGTTATCACAAAGGTGACTCACTTCAGAGCAGGGCTCTGCTTTAAGAAATCACATGCCCAAGTTCACAGGAAACGCACAGTACATCTTTTTGCACTGGAGTTAAAAAGAATATTCGGTAGAAGACAACAGACTTCACTGGTTAGTCTTAAATATTTAGAACTAGGAAGTGTTAGAGGTTACTGTCAACCCTTTCAGTATTTCCATATTCCAAGATTAGGGATATTTCTGCTACACTGCTAGATTTTACTTTTAACCAGAGAAACTCTTCCTTCACACACACACAAGTGAGCCCAATTTGAAACATAGCTGAAAAGCAAAGCTACTCCACTTATATTTGAGAAGAATATAGTTGCTGACTTCAAATTTCATGTCCTTTCCTTTAAAAAAGCTAATCTCTGAGTGTGAAACCACCAAGTTCAAAGTTATCTTGTGATAACAGTTTTATTTTGCTTTTGTTTTTAGCCAAAAAGACTTTATACTAGTTTAAGTATGTCCATCTTTGAAAAATTTTGAGACGTTCTCAATAAAAATGTAACTGGTTGTTCTATTGCTAAATGATGTGTATTTAATAGTATGAAAACAAAAAACTGAGCAATCACTGTTTATACTAGCTTAAGTATGTCTGCCTTTGAGAATTTCTGAAACATTCTCAATAGCTTTTTATTTGGTGGGTCTATTGCTAAAATACATATATTTAATATATGAAAACAAACATCGAGCATTCACTGTGTGTCAGCAACTGATACAAGCACTTTGCATGTATTATCATTCATATGAACCATATGAGATAGGCATTATCATTATCATCATTTTACAAATGGGGAAGCTGGGACACGTAAAGTTTAAACAATTTGTCTAAGGTCAGGGAGCAGGCAGTGGGTACAGCTGGAAGTCAAACCCATACAGTCAGCCTTCAGGGCCCCATGATCTTAACCAGTACCCATTTGATCCTTTTTTTTTTTTTTTTAAGTGTTTAACCTGTTTTGGTCAGTGATAGAAAACAAAATCTGCTATAGGAGCAGAAACAGATTTATCACAGAGTATGGAATAGCTTCCAGAACCACTGAGAAGTGAAGAAACAGACGGGAGGCAGACCTTCCAGGAATGCCTCACCCAGCCCCCCAGAACTGGCTGCCAGGACCCTCACCCCCTCTCCACCTCCGTAAGGGGACGAGCTGCACAGAGCAGTGCAAATCGTTCAAGTAAACTTTCTATAAACAAAAGTATACACGTTTCTTGGTGTTTTTTCAAGTTCACTCTCAGTAGCACTAAATAAGGAATATTATGTACGTACATATTTGTGTAAAGAGACATTTCTATGTGCTAAATATCACACCATTTGATCATGATTATCAGGACTTGGGCTTGATTAAGGTTTAATCAAGACCAATTTTGATACGAAACAGTAACTTTGACTTCACACTTACTCCTGGACATGGAGCTGAGTGTCCTTTTATAAAATCTAGAAAGAAATGCCCGTCTCCTGCAATGCAGGTTTAGGGGTGATGAGAAGCAGTGTGATGTTAGTAGTGAAGATAAGGCAGGAGAGAGAAGGAAACACTCAAGCTCCAGAAGCAGGAACTCCAGGGGGAGCCAGTCTCCAGGCCGTTCTTTACATTCACCCAGAACAGTGGTTCTGAAATAAAAACACAGTCACGTCATTTCTCTAAAGCCTCCAGTGCCTCATCTGGGCCTCAGCTGGCCTCTGTCCACACTGGCACTGGTGGAGATGCCATCATTCCCGTAGCCTCCTATCACCCGCATCTGTTGCCAGCATCTCTTGTGATGTCTGCAGAACCAGCTGGTCTCTGGTCCTTGGTCCTCGCCTTGACCCAGCTCTTCTGAGCACCACAGTTCTCCTAGCCCCCAACACATCTGTCTACCTTGTGGCTCTGGGAAACTCATTCAACTTGCCCACTGAGATAGTCTTTCTCTGTTGCTTCCTCACCACACCCAAGAGGATGGGTAGGTGGCAGGAGGGTGAGAAGAGTGGGCGTTCAGTTTGCAAGACTCACTCCCTCTCAAAGAAAACAGAAAGTGAAGTTCTGTTCTCAGAGCTTCCGCCCTCTCTGCAGGTCCATCTGTATCACATCCCCACCTGAGAACCCAGTCCGGAGCACAGAGCAAGGCGCCCTTCCTTCTCCGCTCTCCTCTCCCGGGGCCCGTCTCCTCCTGCTCACCTCGGCCCAGCAGAACACTTCCTTGCTGGGGCAGTGAAACTGGTTCTTGCAGGATCAAGCCTGGCTTTCGCTGTAAACTTTGAGTCTGGGTACTCAAAAGGCTGAGGCCGCTACAGACTCTTGACTCTTAAACTTTTAAGAATTTACTTTGGAACTTCTCCTACTTTGCTGTATCAACTCTGCCTTTCTATGAACAAGGAAACAATATTAGAAGGCCCAAGGGGGAGAACAACCCATAGTGGTTCCTATATCAAAATAGCATGCACCAACTCCACTTAGGTGTCTGGCCTGGAGTGTGGACTATGAACTCAGTAAATAAGAAGGAACGTATTGGCACATCTTTCCTGTGGCAGAGTGACAGAAGAGGCGCTTGAAAATGTGTGTTCAATGAGTGAAAGTAAGCTTAGTCTTCCTCCCCTGTTCAAGATACATAGAGATTTTATATATACGGCATTCTATGACATGGGTGGCATGACTTGTAAATGTGAACCTCCCCTGATGGATGTTCTCATTGTAGACATGCTGTCATTTCACTTTATATTCCTCCCTTAAGAGCCTTCCACCAGCATTGAAAAAAAAAAAAAAAGTTTTGCCTTCTTCTCAAAGTTCATGCCACCTGAAACCTCATCTTGGAGTATCCCTCCTCCTCTGTGTCCACATCCAGTCCACCATCTTTCCTCACCTTCACACCATCTTTTGCATTCTTATTGCCACTCTTTTGATACCAGATCCTGACTATCTAGCATCGGGATGAGTTATAAACAATTTCTTTCCAGTTTTCCTTCCTCCAATATACATACCTGCTTTATTCTGCAGCCAGCTTGTACATAATCTTCCTTCCAGTCTGATCTGGATATTCTGTTATTCACAATGCTTGAAACCTCTCCTGATGCATCTTTTTCAGGTCTTCACTTCCCTTCTTCCACCTCCTCATCAATTTCAAGCCCATCCAGCCTGCAAAATCCTACTTAATGTCTTAGCATCTCCATGTCTTCTTCCCCAACATACTCTGTCCCCAACCTAAATCAATTTTCACTCCAATACTGGGGCCCAAACATAATGGTTATTTATGTGATGCATTATTCTGTATACATGTCTTACCTCCTCAAATAAATTGTTCCTCATAGGAAATAAATCTCTTATAATCTCAAAAATCATGCTGCAGAAGGGACACTTACTAAATGTCCCTTGATAGACTGAGCAAGATATCATTCTCCCTCTGGTATGGAGTTCCGGAAGTAAGACAGAAAGTGGAGAGAGCCTTGCTAGCTTGAGGAGCTCCTGTGACTCATCTTTCTGGAAATGAGGGTTCCATGGATGCATCACTTTCTATAGTTCTCTATTCATACTATGGCTTTCTAAAAATGAACATTCGCTGATTAAAAAACAGCTCATGCAACTCAATAACAACAACAACAAAACTCAATTGAAAAATCGGCAGAAAAATTGACATTTTGCCAAAGAAGATATAGAGATGGCCATTAGGCACATAAAGAGGTGCTCAACATCACTGATGAACAGAGAAATGCAAGTCAAAACTATAATGAGTTACTACCTCACACCAGTAAGAATTGCCCTCATGAAAAAGTCTACAAATAACAAACGCTAGATGGTGTGGAGAAAAGGAAACCCTCCTACACTTTTGGTAAGAATATAAATTGGCACAGACACTATGGAAAACAGTAGGTGGGTTCTTCAGAAAACTAAAAATACAATTACCACATGATCCAGTAATCCCACTCCTGGGGATCAGTTAGTCAGTCAGTCAGTTCAGTCGCTCAGTCGTGTCTGATTCTTTGCAACCCCATGAACTGCAGCATGCCAGGCTTCCCTGTCCATCACCAACTCCTGCAGCCTACTCAAATTCATGTCCATCGCATTGGTGATGCCATCCAACCATCTCATCCTCTGTCATCCCCTTCTCCTCCCACCTTCAATCTTTCCCAGCATCAGGGTCTTTCCCAATGAGTTGGTTCTTCGCATCAGGTGGCCAAAGTATTGGAGTTTCAGCTCCGGCATCAGTCCTTCCAATAAACACCCAGGACTGATCTTCAGGATGGACTGGTTGGATCTCCTTGCAGTCCAAGGGACTCTCAAGAGTCTTCTTCAACACCACAGTTCAAAAGTATCAATTATTTGCCACTCATCTTTCTTTATAGTCCAAAACTCACATCCATACATGACTACTGGAAAAACGATAGCTTTGACTAGACAGACCTTTTTGGGCAAAGTAATGTCTCTGC